TGCGGTCTCGCACTCGGAGATGCCCACCGCGAGGCTATCTTCCCTGGGGCAGCGCCAACCACAGCTGTCTTTTTTTTTTTTTAAATATATTTTATTGATTTTTTACAGAGAGGAAGGATGAGAGAGAAACATCGATCAGCTGCCTCCTGCACTGGTGATGTGCCCACAACCAAGGTACATGCCCTTGACAGGAATCGAACCTGGGACCCTTGAGTCCGCAGGCCAATGCTCTATCCACTGAGCCAAACCGGTTAGGGCACAGCTGGCTTTTTTTTTTTTTTTTTTTTAAGATTTTATTTTTAGCTTTAGCTGGTTTGGTTCAGTGGATAGAGCACTGGCCTGCGGACTGAAGGGTCCGGGTTCCATTATGGTCAGGGCACATGTCCAGGTTTTGGCTCGATCCCCAGTAGGGGGCGTGCAGGAGGCAGCCAATCAATGAGTCTCTCTCATCACTGATGTTTCTCTCTCTTCCTCTCCCTTCCTCTCTAAAATCAATTTAAAAATATTAAAAAGATTTTGTAATTTTTATAGAGAGAACGGGAGAGGGAGAGAGAGAGGGGAACATTGACATGAGTGACACATCGATCAGTTCCTCCTGCACGACTCCTACAAAGTATGATCGAGCCGCAACCTGGGCATGTGTCCTGACAAGGAATCTAACTGGCAACGCATTGGTACCTGGGATGATGGCCAACCAACTGAGCAACACCGGCCACGGCCCAGCTGGCTTTTTATTCTGCCCCCTGGAAGGCCCGAACAGCCAAAGCTGCAGTAGATGGCAGCAGGGAACTGTGGTCTCCAGAAATGATGTCAGAGATACTTTGGACTGAAAAGAGTGACTCTCAAAGAGGGCAAAGCAGCCTGCCCCAGGTGGGGTGCAAGACGATGCTGGAGAAAGCAGGCCAGTGAGCTGAGAGAGGCATCCTCCACGGAAGGCAAGAACTTGCTCTGCACCAGCCCTGCCCTGCCAGAAAGACTGAAAAGTGGCTCTCTCCCCGTCAGCTTTGTTTCGTGGCTCTCTTCAGTTTGAAAGAGGAGACGTCTCCAAGTTGGAAGGAAATTGCAATATAGAACTTAACATAATAATGAAGTTAGAAAAAAAAGTATGGAAGATACGCCTCAAAATGTTAACCATGGTTCACCTGTATTAGAAATAGGGGCAATTAAGTTAATTAAACCCATTACAGAATTAAAGAGACATAATTGGGTTTATTCTTAGACTTGAACGCAGTGTGCTTTACAGTGTAACTTTGGTTTCCTTAGTTTTCCTAAAGGGCACGCCTGGACCTTGATATCTTCCCAGAGCGGATTCTCTCAGGGCCCCTGGCTTCTTCAGGCATGGAAAGAGCTCCAGCTCATCGAGCAAAGCTGGCTGCTCCCTTCAAACCAGCTTTGCTGAGAGATAACTCACCCTCACAAAACAGCCCACCCTCAGCACACAGCGTGGGGTCTGGCAGGTAATCAATCACATAATCATCACCAAGATACAGACCATTCCATCTGCCAGAAAGTTCCCTGGAAAGCTGACCTTTGTGGTCAATCCCTCCCCTTCCTCCTCAGGCAACCACTGATGAGCTTTCAGCCAGTAGGAGGTCTGCCTTTTCTAGAATTTCATACAGCTGTGTACTCTCTAGTGTGTCTCAGAGTCATGACGCTGGGTGCTTCTGAGTTGGGACCTGCGCTGCTGGAGGGGCTGTGGTGGTCAGCTGACTCTGAGGTTAGGGGTCAGGCGGTCAGCGTCTCCCTGCGTTGAGAGAACCAGATGTTGTGCCGGGTCCACTTGGTCTGTATAGGAAGCTGTTCTATCTACACTCTAATCGACATGATGAGCTCTCAAATATCTTTACACTTTAGAATTTCCCCCTAAAATGCAAATAGCATTGTTTTCTTTAAGTATAAAAGTAACACATCCTTACAAAAAATGTAGATAAAACAAAAATACATCATGTAAAATTTAACTAAATTCCAACCAATAATAAAAAAAACACACACAGTTTTTCTTCTGGACTGTTCTGCTATCTCTATTATAAAAACCCCTTGGTCATGACACCGTCATGGTGGAACGACCAAAGACTGATGATCACCAGGAGGCTGCGTGCGCGGTTGGGCGGGGCTGCGAGATTTCTCGGGCTAGGCTTCTAGTATATACATAGTTTTGCCATTGCTTATTTCCTTCTTTAGGTAAGAACAGGGTCCTACTCTGTCTACTGTTTATATAACCCACTTTTTCACTTAAGAATGTAGTGTGAACATTTTTTCTATCTCAGCAAAAATGTATCTACTTAATGATGTTAAGGGATGTAAAGAATACCGCGATGACTTTAAGAAATTCCAATGTAAAGGACATTTAGGCTTTTCCCAATGTTTTGCTAATGGGACCAAATACATGCTATACATATCTTATTGGAGTGTGGGGATGACTAGAGCTCCCACAGGTGCTTATTCCCATTTTAGATTTAAAAGAACCAGAAAAGAACCACCAAGGCCACGAGGGATGTGCAGGGGTTTCCGTTTTTAAAAATAAAGGCTCAGAGGCTCTCCAGGGCGTCCTGCCCCTGAAGGAATCGGGCTCTCGGATAAGCCCCTCTCTCCTGAGAAGCAGTAGTTCATTTGTGGGCATTCCCTCCTCCGACCTGGGCTGCATCAGATCTGCTAATGAGTTAACAACTCTTAAAGTCAAACGTGGTTTGAAATCGTGGTGTAAGTTTAGTTCAGATAATTACTGGGTTAGGGTATTAAATAAATACCTAAAAGGAGTGGGGGGGCTGAGAATAGTAATTGGGGGGAAACCCCACAAGTCTCCATCCTGAATCTTTCCAGCGTGATCACAAGTCAATGCCACTGGCTGTGGGAAGCCACCTCAAAACTCCAATCTCCAGGCTCTGATCCGAGTGAGAGACACACACCACTGACTCTAGGGGTTGCAACTTTCCTGGGAGAAAATTAAATTAAATTTTAAAGATGCTTTGCAAGTAAGGCTATAAACGGAATGCAAACATCATCATGCTGTGTTGGTTTTTTTAAATTCTTTTTTTTTTAAACAACTTCCTTTTTACATGGCCTAGGTCTTCTGTGGTCATCTCCATGATGATTTGAGCACAAGGGACTAAAGTGAGAGGGAAGGAGAAGCTGCTCCAAATGCCAATTGGGGGAGCCGGAAGGGGAGCAGGAAATGTACTTTCTTCCCAGGGAACATGTAACGCCTCACCTGTCCCTCCAAATCATGAGCGAGCACAACCTACACACAGACAGGGTTCCTGGTGATCTGCTACCCACATTTGTATTTGCTCTTTATCCTCAGCATCTGATGATTTTAGTCTCTGCCCATAAAAGTGGATTGGGAGCCTCTCTCTTTCTGTCAGCATTCTCAGCGTTCCACGGAATGTCTTAAGTTAGGGTGATTCATAGCTCAACTTCAGGGTCTCCCCTGGAAGCTACAGGGGGCCACAGCTGCCCCCCTTCCCCGCCCCACTTCTGCCACTTTGTTGGAGGAAGGAGGGTATGATTTTGTCGACAAGGAAAAGAGATCATAAAAGATGGACGCTAAGACGGGTGACCTTTCTCCAGGCATGCATTTCCTGCTGGAGAACAGTTCCTGGTGTTTAATGGCTGGTTCTGTCAGCACAACACCTTATTGTGTACTTCTTACGGGCCTCTGCGTGCACAGAGATCTTTATAAGCCCTCGTTTGTTAGCTTCTTGTTGGTGAATCATCCTTTCACAATCTTGACTCAGAAACCCAACCTCTAGGCCCAAAGCCAAATAGCCAGAAGCAATCAAAGGTAGTAAATCAGGGTGTGCTTGGTCAGGAGCCTTAAGCTCTGCCCTCTCTTCTTGGTAAATCAAGCACAGAAGAAAACATATTTCTAGGGAGAAACCTGTTAACCAGCCTGGTGTATTCCTATTATTTACTAGTATATCATCCAGGAAAGAAGAAAGGCCCTGCAAGTAAACCATTTCAGGCCTGAGCGTCAGGCTCTACGTTTCCAGTCCAGCTCTTTCGTTTAACAGCTGTGTGACTTTGGGCAACTTACTGTGTCTCTCTGAGCTTCAGCAGTTGCTGAGAGAATTAAAAGCAATGCGGTTGTGCCAACATATGTAAACTGACGTGAGGATTCTTGGTCTAGGATTGCCTCGAGCCCCTCAGTGAAAGTTCCATCTAATCCTATAATCATGTATGTCCTTGTAATCCTCCTAAAATACATTTTCAGGTGTAAGGTCCATGACTCCTCTCCCTCGGGCGGAGAAATTTCCCCTCCCTTACTCATTCACAGCCTAGGAAAATTTCCCAGCCAGTCATGTGCGCCATCAGGGATCACCCTGACAAACCAGATTTCCTTCTTTGCTGGCAAGGCCAGGACGCTGCCGGCATGGGAACTCTGGGAAACCACATGGAGCTGGCACATGATATTAATTAACTGTTTCTTCAAATTCTGGGTGCCAATAAGTGTGTTTTTTGTTTGTTTGTTTTTATGAAACAGAATAGAATAGAAATTACTCATGCACTTCGTGTATTGTTTCTTGATGTGTGTGTGTGTGTGTGTGTGTGTGTGTGTGTGTACCTGGTCAGAGTGTAAAATAACATTTCTTACTGTGAGTCTCAGCCAAGTTTAAAGCCACAATGGAGTTTGGGCATCAGATCTCTTATGAACTGCAACCCAGCTGCTCCCTCCAGGTGACTTCTCTACCTCAGCTCTCTGACAGCTGGCAGCTCAGAGCTGGCTCTACCTGTAGACCCTGCAGTTCACCTGGAGCTTAAAAACTGCAAATGTGGCCTCAGCAGACCCTGGGGAACTTTTGAGGAGAGGCTTGGGAAATCTAGCTGCACCTTTCAGGCATTTCTACTTTCTTTTTTTTTTTTTAGAAAACAAGAACCTCATGCAGGAATGGGAACGAAAATGCTAGGAACCCAATTCTGCTTGAACTTATGCGTTACCAGTCGAGACCCTTCCAGAACCACCAGCGACAGCGAATGGCCAAACTGCCTCCCCAGTGGCTCACCTCTCCCAGTGCACAAGTATCTGCATTTGTGGCATTCCAGGAGTCCTTCCGCCTCTGACTGGTAGTATTCCACGTCCTCCCGTCCAGGCCTGGGGTTCGAGGGCAGATATAGCCCCGAAGGGGGTTCACTGTAACTAAAAACATACACCACGGCCATTAGGGGGCCTCGATTTCAATAGCTTGTTCAGTATTAGAACTCTGGACACCGCAGGCTGGGCCCAGACATCAAACAAGGAGCAGAACAGGAACAAAATCTGCCGGGGTATTTCAACACTCCAGGGAAGTCTCTGGTTCAGCCACCCCAGAGGGCATCCACTCTGCTAACTACCCCCATTACTTATCCCTGGATGCCCTCTGCTAACCATCTCCAGCCTTCGGTGCTGGTTGGTCAGCCTGGGGGCGCCATCTAACCGGGCAGATGGCAGCCGCCTTCCTAAGCTTCTCAGTCCAGCATGGACCAGGCCACTTCAACACTAGTTTGCCTTCACACGGCTCTGATGCCCGGGCTGGGGACGGGGCACTGACGTGTAAGGCAAGCTAAAACGTAGCTCTGTCATTTCCCACGCCACACAGTCGCAATGCCATGTGGCTTTACTAGTAGTCAGGGAAACAATGGCTGGTCCCTGTGACTCTATCCGGGCACACCTTTTGTCACTGTTCGGCTAGTTGGTTCTAGATAAGGTAACATAAACTCAGGAGAGCAGCTTTCCCGCTATGTGAACACAACAGGTGGAGGGACCGGGCTGAACCCCACAAGTCCCACAGCAGAGGGGAGCCTGACTCCTCCCCTTAGAGACGTGGGCAGGTGTCAAAACCCAGAAGGAAGTCATCACCGTAGGTCCTGTCTGCTTCCTTGTTGGCCTGGCACACATCCTGGGCGTCGGTGGATTGGGATGGGATGCTCGGTGGGGTCTAGGACCCCCTCCTGTCCTCCCTTCCATCCCCACCCTCTCCCAGATCACAGTCTCCCAGCACATCACCCTGCTTCCAGCTCACGGGCTTGGTGGGAACTCAGTGTTCTACCGGGCAGGGGTGGCAAAGTTTGCTCAGACAGAGGGAGGTGTCTGACAAGGTCATGGCATCTGAATGGGGCTGCCCAGGAAGACCTCACTGACAAAGGGGGGGGGGGACCTTTGCCCTTCAATGGGCAGTTTCTGGTAGATTTCATTCTTTGGTTAAAAGTGTAGCTTCCTCCAGCTGCCTGTGTTTGAAATACGTATATCCCTGGGAGGGGTTACGCATTAAACTATTAACCCAACACTGGGCTGACTTTACTAGGTCTGGGCCTCCAGGAAACGGGGACTTTGGGGAAGGCTGGTTCTGGAACAGGAAAAGGGTGTGAAGCCCCGAGGGGCAGCCCTGTGACCACGTGGTGGGGGATCAGGGAGGAGCCTCAGGTTAACTCCAGCTACATCTCCTCCTTCCCACCCCTTCCCTTCCCCGCCCTGAAGTCCTCTCTATCTCCTAACCTGGTGCCTCGGCTCTGCCCCTGCTAACAGGGGTGGTTTCTGCTCTATTAATCGAGTTCAGGTCAAGGCGTGGGGGCTCCATAAGGTTTTCCTTCCAGCCCAAGTAAGAGCGCAAAGGAATGGCACTGTCTGCCTTTAGACCGGCTTCCAAGGGGCCCGGGCGCG